ATAAAGCAAACCACGTCTGGGAGCACCCTTGAGATACTTCAAGATGCGTACAATTGCTTTCATGTGAGGTACCCGAGGACTGGTCATGAACTGGCCAAAAATGATCAAGGGTATTCGATCGATCTTATTCAAATTTTAATTAATAGTAACTAACTTCTAAATTCTAGCAATTATGTTTTAAACATATCAAATATAAATTATTTAAGTATAGAGAACAAAATAATAATAATAATAATAATAATAATAATAAAATCAAGCTATCACAAAAAAACACACACTTTTTACGTGGAAGTCCAATGGATAAAAACCACTATTCATAGTCCATGCAGATCAAATCCACTATAGAGAGAAAAGTAATATAACACTAGAATTGGAGAATATTATTATAGGAACCCTTACTTAAATTACTTTTTGACAAAATGTTGCTATGAAACTTGTTTCCATGTTTGTATTTGACTTTCTGTGTAATTTCTTTATTATAAAATACTTGTAAAGCAAGAATATGTGTAGAGCAAGAATTTTATATTCTCTAGCTACAAGTCTTTCTCATTTCACCTATGAATAGAGGTGATCATTGTATATGTTGGAAATTGTGTTTCAAATTCCTATTCTAATTAAGATTCTATTTTAAAATTGTATTCTATTAGGTAATTTTTTATTTGGCAAGTTTTGGCCTCTAAGGAATTGTAATCCTTGTCCAACAAGGAGTTATGTTGGTAACTCTATAAATAGGTACATATGTTGTGGTTTAAGACTTATGAGAATGAGAGAGATGTAATCTTATGAGAGAGTTGATGGGTAGAGGTAGTTTATGAGTTAATAGAGTATGAAAAACATCGGTGACACTGTTAGAGAGGAGATAGGCTCGTGGAGTGGTACATGGTGAAAAGACATGTACGTGGTGTTAGTACTCTGTTGTTGTAATATCTCTACGAATCATAGTGGAATCTTTTCTCATCCATAGAAGTAGGCCAGTTTTGGCTGAACCATGTATATCTTGTGTTTCTGTGTGATTGCTTTGTTGCCTTTCATTGAATCTTTCTTATTCGCGCGCTTTCGCTGCCCAACAAATTGGTATCAGAGCCAAAGGTGAATGAGATCCAGAAAACACAAGAAGTCTCAACATGTGATGCAACAGGCTTCAATTGTAGGTGGAGTCAATCGGCTTGGTTACATAGCATGGAGCTCGAGTGGTCAAGGTGGAGCCTTGGAGGTTTGACTGACCGAGCAACATATAATGTGGACAGTCGGAGTTTTGTACGAGTATCGACAGGATTGAAGCTGCAAAAGAATTATCATGATCAATGCCATGGAAAGCGATGATTGGCTGGATGGAATTTGAGCCAAGGTAGAGATTGTTGAAAATTGTCTCAAATTCCTATTCTAATTAAGATTCTATTTTGGAGTTGTATTCTATTAGGTAATTTTTTATTTTCCAAGTCTTGGCCTTTAAGGAATTGTAATCCTTGTCCAACAAGAAATTATGTTTGTAACTCTATAAATAGGTACATATGTTGTGGATTGAGACTTATGAGAATGAGAGAGATGCAATCTCATGAGAGAGTTGATGGGTAGAAGTAATTTATGAGTTAATAGAGTAGGAAAAACACCGATGACACTGTTAGCGAGGAGATAGGCTTGTAGAGTGGTACATGGTGAAAAGACATGTACGTGGTGTTGGCACTTTATTGTTGTAATATCTCTACGAATCACAGTGGAATCTTTTCTCATCCATGGAAGTAGGTCGGTTTTGGCTGAACCATGTATATCTTGTGTTTTTGTGTGATTGCTTTGTTACCTTTCATTGAATCTTTCTTATTCGCGCTCTTCTATTGCCCCAACAGTATACAAAAATCAAGAGAGTACAATAAAGATATGTAGCCCTTTGGGCTTTGTGCACCGTGAATGTAAGCCCTAATGGCTGAACCACGTATATTTTTGTGGTGTTCATTTTCTATCTCTCTTCAATTTTGACATGGTATCAAAGCAGGTTTATCATAATATACTCGTCTCGAATTTTCAGATCAACTTGTTTTGGATCTATGGATCCGGATCAACTCATCTTGGATCTTCAGATTAACTCCTCTTAGATATACTCATCTCAGACTCTTGACAACTTAATTTTTAGTTTCAAATTGGACACTTGGGTTAAAATCTCCGTGTATCTCAGTGAATGTTATTATAGGAGCCCTTACTTAAATTACTCTTTGACATAATATTGCTATGAGATTTGTTGCCATATCTGTATTTGACTTTCTGTGTAAACCCTTTATTATAAAATACTTGTAAAGCAAGAACACGTGTGGATCAAGTATTTTCTATTCTATAGCTACAAGTCTTTCTCGTTTAACCTATAAATAGAGGTGATCATTGTATACAAAAATCAAGAGTCTTTCTTGTTTCACCTATAAATAGTGGTGATCACATATATCTTTTCACCTCAATAAATAGAGGTGAATATTATTATAGGAACCCTTACTTAAATTACTCTTTGACATGATATTGCTATGAGATTTGTTGCCATATCTGTATTTGACTTTTTGTGTAATTCCCTTTATTATAAAATACTTGTAAAGCAAGAATACGTGTAGAGCAAGTATTTTCTATTCTCTAGCTACAAGTCTTTCTCATTTCACCTATAAATAGAGGTGATCATTGTATACAAAAATCAAGAGTCTTTCTTGCTTCACCTATAAATAGAGGTGACCACGTATATCCTTGTGTTGTTCATGTTCAGTCTCTCTCTTCAATTTTGACAACTAGGTTATCATATTCTAACCCCAAGAATTCCCAAGTTACCTTTGACCCAAACTCACAGCCGATAGGTCAATCATAATGGAAGTCTTGTTTTCCTTAATGAGTGAGGAAATATTCTTTTATAGTCTCAGTTTGAAACTGTTTGGAAACAGGTGTGAGTGGAGTGTTTAAACATTCAGCTTATGTGGCTTGTTTCTTTTCTAGCGATCTATTGTTCCAAGTTAGCAGATGTCTTGTTGGTCGATTCTGAGGGCATTTTCGTGCTCCAGCTCTGATCCAGCTCACCATGGGAGAGCGTCTGTTTGGCAGAGATATCAGACACCTCAAGGCTTGTACATGTACTATGGTCTTATCCATTAAGCTCAGCCACACCATTGGCTAAGGATAGCTTGTTCAAACAAGCAATTATCCTTTGTTTCACTTTAATTTGAATTAAACATTTTGGTTCCTTATAGTGAAAACACCAAATGACCGTTTATTACTACAATGCCCTTTTTTATTTTAAATTAAAGTGAGAGTTGAGTCATTGTTCCTTAGGGACCAAGACATAAGTTTGTCTTTTAACCTTGGTCCGGCTATTATCTCCTATAGTTGAGCATAGAATCATCTTGCAAGATAACTAATACTTTACATTGATTCTAACACTCACCAACCCTAAATGCCTAATGGTCTTGAACTTGATCTTCAGTATATGTAGTTCCTTCGCTATGTTGTGCTAGGTTTGGCCAAAAGGTTGAGTCTATGTGCTTGATTTGAATATAACTTGATGCACCATCCATGGATCAACTTAATTACTTGAGATTGAATATAAATCCTGAAATTAAGTGCACTCAAGTAGGCTGTTAAATACTCACATTAATAGGTTGTTATCATCAAAATCACCAAGTTTCACTTGGCTTGAAACCTTCTGGCCAACATCTCCCAATAAGTTTATTTCCTTATGATAGAGAGAGGAGAAGTTGGAGGTGGGGGGAGTTGTTCACGAAGATCATGGATCCTTTTGGCATGACTTGTAATCCACTAGATTGTGTATCGAGTGTTGGACAATTTGGGACGTGGCTTAGGATGATCTCACCACTTTTGATCACGTCTTGGATGTTGTCTTGCAGATTCAGCCAAATGTCTAGTTGGCCCATAATGATATGCATAGTTTTTGGTTGGATCATGCTTCTTTAATTCAAAGGTTTTGAATGTACCAAGTTAGAATTGGTGTTTTACTTGTAGGGAGTTAGCAAGAGAAAGTGAGCATCATGGATATAAATACTTGATGTATTGTCTTGGGAGTGTAGTCACAATGATTCTCTTAACTACTAAGGTGTCAAACTTCTAGAATTGCAACGAGTTGTTTTTTTAGACGTTTGATCTATGTCGCTTAGCCTCATGTACGTATATTGAGCGTGCTTATGTTTGTAAGTATTAGTCATCCTTAAATCCCAAATCCCGGAAAACAAAAAATGTGGCTAGAAAAGTGTCCAAAAGTTGGTGTGGGTAAGTAGAGACGTCTTGCATATTTAAGTATTAAATTTGAGATTTTCTTTTCTTTTTCCGTAACCAAATGTAGAAAATTGGAGTGTCTAATATCTGTCCATATCTTATACTTACGCCTTTGTTGTGTCATGTTGATACAATATATTGGAAGTAATGTAAAAATACATGTAATACAAAATCTGATTGATTAATTGAATTTGAGTGGTTTGACTTTTGATGTTGGGGAGAAAAATTTATTTGTTTTCCTTTTGAAGTGGTTACCGAAGTTTTGGATGATTAAAAGTTCCAATGCAGTAAGATTTATATGCTGCAAGAATATGCAACCTTTCTACTTCTAAAAACGTGGTGGGACTCTAGCATTGGAACTTTTGATGCACTCAGCTCGTAGTATAGAAATTAAATTTTCATTTCTCGTTATCGGAAAAGCATGCTTTTTGTCATTCAGTTATATACTTACGATTTTGCCATCAGTTTTGTAAAGGATCCCAATAAAGAAATGACAAAATCTTTCACGCTAATTGAAGATGACTGATAATCCATTACTTACCACAACATTCTTTAAGGCCTTGATTGTGATTCTATCTCGAGATCATTTGTTTGCTGTTGTAAAGTTGTTCATAAACTTGCTTTTCCTTGCATGATCTGAGCGTCCCATATCAGATCACCAATAAAAGCTGCCATAATCATATTGCATATTGTTTGATGGGTGTTATTTTTAACATCTATGCATCTGATTTTGCATTTCCCTTTTGCAGATATCTTACTTAAATGCACTTCGATTTGGGCTTAAGCGGATATTTTTTGGTGGATTTTTCATTAGGGGTCATGCTTATACCATGGACACAATTTCATTTGCTGTTCAGTTCTGGTAACTCTTAAAAGTTATATTGCTCTATGAAGGCTTAGAAGTTCTACTGATTTTCTCTTTTGAATTATCAATTTTTGTTATGAAAATTTAAATTAGTTCAATAATTTGTTAATAAAATACTTCAATATATATATATATATATACACATATATTTCTCCTTGCTGTCTGGGTGACTTCTGTTTATTTTAATTTTTATTCAGCATCTTTCTGTCTCCCCTCTTTTCATTTTTTCTTTGGTTAGGTCAAAAGGAGACGCACAAGCAATGTTTTTGCGACATGAAGGATTTTTGGGAGCTTTAGGTGCATTTATGAGCTACGAAAAACATGGTTTGGATGACTTGATGGTTCATCAGTTGGTGGAGAGGTTCCCTATGGGTGCACCATACATTGGAGGACGGATTCAGGGTCCACCATTGGGGGATTTGAATGAGAAGGCAGGTATCTTTCTAGATATAGAGCTGCCAATTTGCTTAGAATTACTAGGTGGGCCTTCTAGCCGGCTAGTTTTATCACAATTGGGTTGCGTTTTTGGGTAAGCCTAAAGTTTTTTATTTTTTTGGGAGTACAGTAACTCTTAGTCTGAAGTTTTTGGGCTGCATTGTGTTTAAATATCACCTAACCAACCTGAATCCAGTCTGATAGTGGTTGCATAACCTTTATTTAATATATGGCAAGCTACTTTCGAGTTGACCTTAAATGAATAATTTTATTACTTCTGTTTGAGGTTTCCAGACCATAAATGAGTCTGACAGGTGAAAATCTAACATGATTGAATCAATCATTGCCAACATCTGATTTTGGCTGCATGCTTGAATCAGTGGTAATGTCAAACACAAGTATTGTTGTCTAATGATGCACAAGAAATCTTCTGAGTCCCTTGCAATCCGTTGGAGTTGTAGTATATCGAAAAAAAAGAAAGGAGGATAAAACATTAATTAATCAGAAAATGTGACACATAAAAATAATATTTCCAATATAAGCCCTGAGCTCTCTTTCTTTGCAAAAAAAATGAGCATAAGCAAGTTCTTTTTAACTTATTGCAATATATGTTAGTTTATACTTTATACCTTGTTCGTGTTGTCTTTAAATTTTTTTTAATTCTATTTTGTGATCTATTGTAGGAGTTAGATGCTTTAGACCTTTTATGCCTTGTTGAACCAGGTGCGCAAAATCTAAATTTGCAAGTAAAAAAATCCAAATATAATATATTAGAGTCAGAATTATAAAAACTTCCAAATATAAACATATTAGATTCAGAATTATGAAATTCCATTGCGTGTATGGTTATGTAGTAGGGAACTCAAAGTTTCACTTTATTCCTTGACCCTGCAAGTTTATTACAATACACTTCTTAATTGAGGAAAGCATCGAAAATCATGAAAAGGTTCTTTCAGAATAAAATTAAAATATCACCTGTTCCTATATTTGAAAATCTTTGAGTTTCTGTCAAAGTATGTATATGTTTTGGAGTGGACAATATATTCTAGATTTCTGTAGGCTCGTCCACCCATTGACATGCTCGGGCTTACTCTCTCCCTCCTTCTCCCCAACCCAAAGGAAAAAAGTAAATAAATAAATGAAAGATAAAAAAGAAAGAAAAAAAATTGAGAAAATTGTTCTACTATGTTTTATTCCAGTATGCTTCTTGGAATAAATCCGATCAATATAATATGATATTTTCAGGAATAAAAATAACTTTATCTTGATGATTCCCTAGAACATATTCTTATTTTACTATGCTAACTTTCTCAAATTTCAGTTCTTAAAAAATACTTTATGCAATCATACAGGAATATATTCAATCAGTTTATTTCTGAAGTCTAGCTGGGGCATCCAATAAAGGTGAAGTGATTGGAATATAGTGATAAATGACCAAAAAGACCCTACTGGTTGAACTATGCAATCAGAGAGAAAAAGCAGTTGTGAGGAAACAGAAAAGTGGTTGTGCAATCAATTTCTCATTCCTGGGTGTGACTAAACTAATTTATTGCCTCAGCTCTTTTTATGGAAACTGTCAAATTAATTCACCATCTTTATATTTAGCTAGTGCTGGTGAACTTACTAAATATAATGAGCATATCGTAGTGTTGTCCTAGGGTGTGAAAATGTGATCTCTGATTTAAGTGGAGCTGCTTTTTGGTGCTTTATATTGGTGATGATGCCCTTTATATGTGAGAAATTATGTGCGACTATCTGCTCAATTTTCAGTTCAGGATGCATGTCGAATTAGGAGAAACATTCATTTTCTCATAAACACGAGGTATCGTGTTAAATCTTATCTCAAATGAATGATAACAATACAGAAGGTGGTATATAATTGAGAGAGTTACTTAGCGAATCAGTTATCAACAAAAATTTGTTATGCTTGAGAGTTCAGTACCTGCATAGAAAAACCTAGGGGGTGGCTGTAATAACCTTGTTCATAACTCTACGAGTTTTTGTTCTGCTGCTCTACTTTTCCCTAGCGAAGTTTTTGTCTTTGCAAGCATGTTTTTGTTTGCACAATTCTAAAACACAATTCATGTGCATTTTATTGCAGATATCATGGATGGAAAAGTTTGTGCAGAAGGGAACTGAGATTACTGCTCCTGTTCCAATGGCTCCACCAGGAACCACTGGCCTTGGTGGCTTTGAAGTTCCATCATCCAAAGGGGATACTCTGCGTTCTGATGCAAGTAATCTTAATATTGGTGTTCTCCATCTTGTACCTTCTTTGGAGGTGTTTCCGTTGTTGGAAGACCCAAAAACGTAAGCAAAATTTTACAATCTCCCAAAATTGTATGCAAAATTTTATTATTGCATTCTTACTGTCTTTCCTATGTTGAATTCTGATGAAAATATACTTCAAATACTTCATAATCATTTGACTTCATTTTGGTTTATTATCCCTTGAAAAGATTTAGAACATTTTATATTTTTGGGTCTTTATTTCTGATTATGATCTCCATGTGTCATTTCTTTACATAGGATTCATATCCTCATTGCTTACCGTTTACCTCTGTGGTTAAGCATTTTATACTACAGAATCTTATACGCTCCCCTTTTTTATTCCTTTACATGATACAAATCCCTTTTACTTCAAATTTACACTCAGAATTACTCCTTTATACAATGTTATTAAGAAGATTATACTTGTAGACTGGAATAAGGGAATCCATGGATACACAAGACAGACAAGGAAGGAAAATCATGGATAGTATTAGTTTCTTTTTCTTTTTTTTTTTTTTTTTACAATGGATGGTGTTAGTTGTATTGGTGGTTATGATTCAATTAGCTGGTTGCTTGAGTTTTTTTTCTTATCATCCCTTAAGAGGGTAGGTGCAGGGTCAAACTCCTGGTCGGCATGTGGGTTTGTTTCTTATATGTCAGAAGAAGGAATAAGAAAAATAACTCATTGGTGGTTATGATAATAGATGTCTTCCCTTGCTTGCAGCTACCAACCAATTTGAGGATTGTGATTTGTGCATAGAAAGTGTCTTCTTTGGTTTTGTTTTCCCCCACTTGAAAACTCATAAGTATTAATAATTGTAAAAGGCACGAATTTACTTAGATTTGTTAACAATCCTTTGATACATAATATTTTTTTAGAAAGTCTAACCATTTTGTTTTCACCTAATACTTATTTTAACTGTTTTGACTTTGATTTCCACAGGTACGAGCCTAACACAATTGATCTCTCGGATCACAGTGAGTTAGAGTGAGTAACATACTGTTAAACTTGTATGGGAAAACCTTTTTTTTTTTTTTTTTTTTCCTTTAATAACTTGCTTGTTTGGGATAAGAGGTCAACTTATCATTGCAGAATAAGTAATAATAATATTAAGACATAAGAACCAATCACAATTACTGTGGATAGATGTATGGAAAAAATTCTCATATTCCCTGTGTATTTTGATGTAGGTATTGGTTCACCGTGCTGTCAGAGCATTTGCCAGACCTTGTTGATAAGGTAAACATTCATATCTTCTTTAAACACCTGAGATGCTCTCTCTCTCTCTCACACACACACCCACACACACACCAAAGCCATCATGAAAATGGAATAATGAGTGTTGCTAATTAGACTGTACCTTTGGTGAATATCTGGGTAAACTATCTCATGTTAATCTTGTTGTACAGTCTATGAGTGATCCAAGATTTCTCAGAGAAGCAATCTAGTTGTTAAATATTGGCATTTACATAACTTTCCTGCAATTCCAATTTCCTCCGCACATATATACATATATATACACACACGGCAACTCATATTTTAACAAAAATGTTTCTGTTGCCACTAGAAGTATATGGCCTTAATTTCCCTGGCTTCCTACGCGTTTTCGTAACTTAGTAAATAAAGTGTATCAACAGAATGCAATTTAATGATAATAACAATTAAAGCTGAGTGCATGAAGACGACATTGGAATTTGAACTAAAAATCTAGGAATGACATAAGAGATTGGCGTAGGACTTGTCATTGTTGGACTCACAGTTTTCTTCTCATTCCTACCTTTTCTGCAGTCAAACTGAGTATTTTGAAAAGGTGTATTTTGAAAGTCAACATGCTTGAAATTTAAAGTCTTTAATATCCTTGAGCTTTTATTGTATGTCTATTGTTCTGTAGGAGTTACACTTCTAAGATTATAATTTTAAGAGTTTAATGTGGAATATGTAGGCAGTGGCTAGTGAAGGTGGCACTGATGATGCTAAAAGAAGGGGTGATGCATTTGCTCGTGCCTTTTCTGCCCACTTGGCAAGGTATCTACACATTCATAAGTAATCTCATTGTTCTTTGCATGGTAAGATGACCCATTTGATCATCATCAACCATGGGTAGATTATACTTGTAGTATCAAATTTACTGTTATCGTTGATCCTGTTCCTTGCTATATGAGATAATGCTTGATGGCTGGTAACGGACATGAAATTTGAAAGCTAGGATCATGAGAACAAGTCGCTGAGGTTTCAAAGCTTTTAGATGTGAGGTTTTGTTAATCACCATTACTCTATAAGCTTAAGCTATTAGAGAGGGTGTAACTTTAACTATTAAATCCTCTTATACACCATCTCACATGTGGCATTCTTCCGGTTCAACCACTTTTTCAATTTTAATTATTAGGGTGATGTTGAGGTTTGAACCCTAGACCTTTGACTTTGATACCATGTTATCCACCACGGTGAGGTTTGAACTTGAGACCTTTTGGCTATGGCACCTTTTTAACCACCATCTACTACAAAAGGTTAAGCTCTTAGAGATGGTGTAACTTTAATTATTTATATCCTCTTACAGGTTTATTCATGCTGGGCATGTGTACCATATCTCTTGTGACACTGTTATGTCAATGTTGGCCATGTCATTGTTGGAACTACTCTCCTTCAGTGTTTGCTAAAGTGCGTGCCAAGCATTGATCATTAAGAAATCCTCTCACTTCACCTTATTTTATTTTCTTCAACTCTAGTGCTCCATTCAATTATCTCTCTCTATCTATCTTATTTCTACATATCAACATTCTTATTCCATTTCTATTCCTTCGATTAAATATGCCGCTGCTAGATAAAATGAATTGCCAAAATTTCATTTCTCCATGTGTGTGTGTGTGTGTGTGTGTGTGTGAGAGAGAGAGAGAGAGAGAGAGAGCTCACTTCTCCTTATCTTATTTTTACATTTAATCATTCTTATTCCATTTATATTCCTTTTTTCAATTAAATATGCCCTATTTGATCAAAAGAACAGACAAAATATCCTCTCTCCTTGTTTAGAGAGTGAGAGAAAGCGACACAGGCAAAACAAGCAGAGAGTCAATGAACAGTGAATTAGAGTTTGGTTAACAACCATCTACTCCAAAAGCTTAAATTGTTAGAGAGGGTGTAACTTTAAATATTTAAATCCTTCAACGCGCCCCCTCACGTGTGGCCTTCTTTTGGTCCAACAGGTGATTTCAATTTTAATTATGAGGGTGACAGTGAGGTTTGAACTCGTGACCTTTGCCTCTGATACCATGTTAACAACCATCTACTCCAAAAGCTTAAGCTGTTAGAGAGGGTGTAACTTTAAATATTTAAATCCTTCAACAAGTTTGATGCATGGATAAGATTAAATTTATAAGAAAATATTAATTACTGATGTCTTGGATATAATTCAGCAATTCACCCCATAACATTTAACTTGTTACAGTCCTGGGTGATGGCATCATAGAGTCATACCTCTTTGGGTCATTAGATCTACAGTAGTACAGTGTGCTATGTTCTTTTACATGATCTGAATTTTTTTGTTCGTCAAGTTAAAAAATCCTTACTTAAAAGGATCACCTTGGTCTAGTTTTTTATAATTTGAAAGATCATAATCTTTTCTGTTGCAGTTGGCATTTATCAAATTCATGCTATTAGAAAGTCACTTCCTATAAGGATGAAAAAGCCTTGACATCTGGGTCATGGCCTTACAAGCGAATCCTAAATCCATAATGATTGGCTCGAATGAGATGACATATATTGAATCTATGAATCACTTACCAAAAAAGAAAAAGAAAAAAGAAAACAGTTTGGCTCAGTTGTTTCAAAACATTCCTCTTGAACTCTAAAAACAGAAAACAGTTTTAAGAGAACTATAAACGATGTTTTCTAGGAAAATTGTCAATGGCTTTTCGAACTGCTTTTCGTTTTTCAATTCTTAAAGAATAACCAAGGTTTGTAGCCTAGTGGAAGGTCGAGGGGTTCAAGACCTCGTAGGGGCAAAGTGGGTGTGTGAGGTTCTTGCCAGTGTAAATAAAAATAAAAAATATTGAAAACTTTTCTTATAAAATTGAACTAAGCAAGTCCTAAATTTTAAATTTGTCCATTAATATCTGTACCCCTCCTGGAGAACTTTTGGCACCATCAGTCTGCCTCTCTCGCAACAACTAAATGAAATCAAGTCTTTCAATTGCTTTATAAAAAAAAGTTTATCATTTCAGTTTTCCCAATAAAAAGTTCTAATTATCTGAAACAGGTTGATGGAGGAGCCTGCCGCATATGGAAAGTTGGGGCTGGCAAACCTTTTGGAACTAAGAGAAGAGTGCTTGAGGGAATTCAATTTCGTTGATGCGTATCGAAGCATAAAGCAAAGGTATCCACTTGTGGAGATGATTTGTTTATTTGTCAATAGTTTCTTCTCATTTTTCAATTTATATAAATTAGCAAGTTTATGACATCGTCTTTTCAAAAAAAAAAAAAAAAGTTAAATACATCATTCATAAAAACATATGAATTGATCAGTGTCTAAAGCAACATGCCTTTTAGCTTTTCCTTTGAAGTTTAATTAATTGGACCTTGATAGGACCTTTGATGCACCCAGCTGTCTAGTTATATGCACGTGCACTGTTGGTCTATTCGCAACTATTTTACTTTCCTTACCTCCTTTATGTTGCATGTGACAGGGAAAATGAGGCATCACTAGCTGTTTTACCCGATCTCTTAATGGAGATCGATGGTATGAGTGAGGTATATATATAATTTCAAACTTACCCTTGTCTTCTCTTCAATACCCTCAGTGGAAGAAGAGAGATTGTAGCTTCATTGTGGAAGCTTATTACATATTCTAATAAGAACCTTACATAAATCTAATCAAATATATGTTTGGTTTTACCCTTATCTAAATATATAAAGATTATTTGTGCCACAGACATGAACTCATTCAGTTCTTTTTGGCCTAATTTTCCTTCCTCCTTCACCCTAGCCGTCATACTCCTGATCCTCTGCAGCTTTCTCCCATTTGCAGGATACAAGACTGCTTACACTAATTGAAGGTGTTCTTGCTGCAAACATTTTTGATTGGGGATCCCGTGCTTGTGTTGATCTCTATCATAAAGGAACAATTATTGAAATTTATAGAATGAGTCGCAAAAAGATGCAAAGACCTTGGCGGGCAAGTGCAGCAAAAATATATATTTATTGTTAAAAAAATTATTATAATCAAATTATTAATTTTCATTCAAAAACAGTTGTTAGACTTAGATAGGAGATTATAAACCACTCAGTTTTTTTTGTGTATTTCAGGTGGATGATTTTGATGTATTTAAGGAGAGAATGTTGGGGTCTGGAGAGAAGAAGCTTCGTCATCAAAGAGCATTGCTCTTTGTGGACAACTCAGGTGCTGATGTTATTCTTGGAATGCTTCCTCTAGCACGGGAACTCCTCCGACGTGGAACTGAAGTAAGTTTGTTTCTAAGCAATGCTCGTGAAATGGTTCTGAATCACTTTCTTGAAATTTGACCTGTGAACAAAACACCAGATTGAAGTTTCTTGCTCAGTTCTTCAAATTTGATTTAATGAAGTTTTATTGATAAAAAAGTGTCAATAGCCAGTGTAGTCCCTATTAATTGTAAGTGTTTGCGAGAGGCAAACTGGATGCAGTCCTAACCTTTGTTTTTTGTCAAGCCTATGTAGGCAAAATAGTTGTTTTGCGAGGTTCCACTCTAAAATACAACACACATATATATATATATATATATTTATATATTTAAAACTGGCAACTAAATTTTTGTTTGTACAGCAAAAGTAATGTCTGCCTTTCCAAATATATTTCTTCTCCAACATACCCCCTACCCTTCCCCGTTAGGTACTTCTCTGAAGTTCATTGTTTCCTCCCAAGTACCTTTCCAAGCTCATATAAATATCATGGCCGTTGTTCGTCTTTCCAAACTGCTTTCTCATCACTGATTTCATTCCATCTTCTTTTTGGGACTGAATTTTCAGCAGTTCATGATTGTACTATTGTTTTGCATGTGAATGCATTATCTAACTGTTTAAATGATGAATATTACCATGTGTGCTTAATTTCTTCTGCAACAATAATGTTCAGTTCCCACCAAAGATATTGTATCATGTAAACAAGTAATGATGACATCTATTGTAGGTTGTTCTGGTTGCAAACTCCCTTCCTGCTCTGAATGATGTTACTGCCATGGAGCTTCCTGATATTGTAGCTGAAGCTGCCAAGGTTTGTATTAGACTGTATTCATAAACTAGGACAAGGCTTGATAGTTGTTTATTCTTTAGTACTTCTAACTTCACAGCCACTTTATCTTTTCAGTATATTTGCGCATGTATTGAAAATTTGAAATTTCAGTTTAGTATTACTAGGTGGAGTAAAGGAAAGTACGCACATCTGATTAAATCATGTACAAGTTTTTTTTTTTTTTTTTTTTTAATCTATTACAGAGTAGACAGGAAACATTGAGAATAAAGGGGTGAGACCTTGAGCCAACCCGTAGTTTAAATACATTATAACTGGATAAACACCCAACCACATTCACTCTTTGGATGTTCCTATTCCATTATCAACGAGTTTAGTTCCATTATAGTTTCAATACATTATTCTGGAGATCAGTTTGCTAATCAAAACAAAAGAACTGATTCTTCTGACTTGCAGCATTGTGACATTCTTCGTGGAGCTGCTGAAGCAGGAGGCCTGCTTGTGGATGCAATGATTAACATCCAAGACGGTTCTAAGGAAAATTCATCTTCAGTTCCTTTGATGGTTGTGGAAAACGGATGTGGGAGTCCATGCATAGACTTGAGGCAGGTCAGCTCAGAGCTGGCTGCTGCTGCTAAAGATGCTGATTTGGTAGGATGCTGTTTCCTTTACCTAAGACTTATGTGGACCTTTATTAGAAATTCCTGTGTGTGCGCGCGCGCATGCGCGCTAGGGTTGTTTTCTTCAACCTTTTTAAATCATTTATGCTATATAAGAACAATGTGGAAAAGATTAGGCCCCTAATATTGATGCTGAAGTTTTTACACCATGCAGGTCATTTTGGAAGGAATGGGTCGATCTTTACATACCAACTTTAATGCTCGGTTTAAGTGTGATGCTCTAAAGGTACGATTACTGCTTTGTAATATTTTGGAATGTAAGGAATCAAAATAGTTTGTGGATTGGTGGTCGTTACCCAAGGTTCTTATATCATGGTTCAGTTAGACCTAGAGGGAGGGAGGGAGGGAGGGAGGGAGGGGTGGGGGGGGGGAAGAATATGTCTTGTAGATATTAAATTTGCAACTAACCTCTTAAATTTTTATTGATCCTTATTTAAAATTCAATTGATTAGTTAATCATATATCTCTATTACAATCAGACACATAAAGCAGCAAATAAAGTAGACACAAAAATTTTACATAAAATATCTTAAAGAGAGAAAAAAGCATGAGACCTCATCCAGTCATGAACAATCCACAATTAGAAAAATGTGTACAACCAAAGTTAACTAGATTTTCACTCTAGGATGCCTTAGTTGCCTCTTGAGTCAGACTTGTGCTAAACTCTCCACTTGAGCTCTTACCGATGTCAGTCAACGGTTCTGCTCCTCATGCCATCTGCTTTTCCATGGTTGTTCGATCCTTGATCTTCATACTTTGCTCTATTGATTAGCTTTTGATAGTAGTCTCTATGCGCTCCTTGTTTGAATCTCTCAATCAAATAAATTGAATAAATTATGGCGAACCTTAAATTGAATCTCAAAGCTCGCTCTCTTAAAATATATACTCTCACTTCATTGTAGAGAGGCTCAACAGAAACCCCTAAACTGACAACTCATATCTATAGATAATGTAGGAATCCTACATAGAATAGGAAAATAAATCCTTTTAAAAATATGTTTTGAGGGAGTACTCGAGAAAGTGTTTCCACACAAGTTGATCGATCAAGCCTTTGATCTATTGACTCTGTTGTGCTTCGATGGATTGAATTTTTTTATCAAGAGTGTCTGTCCAGGTTTCGATCGATCGAATATTAGATTAAGCTATTCTAGATTGAAACAAAATTCCTTGGAAATGTCTATTGATTTTTCAATCGAACCCTCTCTATTTTTACGAAAATCCCCAAATCATTAGTTTCTTGGAAAATCATAGGATCAAAACGTTAATTTTGAAAAAACATTTTGGAAACAATATTTCGGATCTTTTAAAGATCATAATTGTTTCTAAGTCTCAAATTACCTTACCCTAGGATCAAAATTTTGGCGTGTTTGCTGATCTTCATCTCTGTCATCATCTTGTGGTTGTAGACACGAGTGGTTGTAGACAAACGACTCATGACATTCAATATGCATTACAACTCAAGTTTTGGCTAGGAATTTGCCGACACACAGACTCAATATCCTTACATAGTGTGGAGGGCAATTTTTCCACCAATAAAGAAACGTCGTCTGTACAAATGAGAACCAATCACAATGCAACACTTGTCTATCACCCGCACTAACATGGATAGCGTTCATCTATAGTCGAACAAACCAAAGGGGTCGATCGGCCAGACCCAATGATGAAGCTGAATCCCATGACATCAGCAGAGAGCAGAATCAGGACAAATGACACAATTTCCTCCACAACAGGGGAATTGATTTTAACCCCCTAAAATGAGGGGAGAAATACATGGCAGTCAGTTGGGTTTTTCCTGACATAAATACCAACGGGGCAAGACAAAAAACGGGATATATGAAAAAGCCATAGGAGAAATTTCTTGTATTCAAAGAGGCATTGCCTGAATAATAACAAGGATCTTCTTTTGGTTTTCATTTTCTGAAGGTGTGGTTTGAATTTGTTGTTGCTTTTCTTATGGGTAAAGTGCAAAAATAAAAATAAAAATCCCCCCCCCCCCCCCATCCCCTCCCCCCCCCCCCCCCCCCCTCAATAAATTAAGGGCATTTTTTAAAATTTTATAAAAAACCCCCCAAAAAATTATTATTTATTATTTTTATTTGATTATTAAAAAAAAATACCTAAAATTTCCTTATGGTATATTGGGTTTTTTATATATAAAATAATAATAAGAAATTGGTCAAAATTGTTGAGCAGGGGGCAATTTGTTACAAATTTTCAAAATACAGGGAGTTATATGCACTTTTTAAAAAAGCAGGGGTGTTTCTTGCATATTTTTTTTTATATAGCAGGGGAGTTTTTTGCACTTTACCTTTTCCTTATTTATACAATTCTACACCTACACATAAGTATATTTGTCTTGTTCAATATTTAGTGGTAAAAATATACCCAATTTTCTTGTGGTTAGAAGTTATGTCCATTAGCATATAGAATAGATGGTTGTTTTCATCTAGTTAATCTCTCTCACAGTGACACTGAGATTTTTAATTTTTGGTGGGAATGTGTAATAGCCACATCTCAATACGGCCATGCCTTCTGAACATTGGCTGTTCTGGGAGTGTTGGAAAGTAGCTCTTGGATATTTTCCTCGACTTCTTTTATGACATGAACATTTTGTTTTGCAGCTTGCAATGGTGAAGAATCAACGACTGGCAGAAAAGCTGATTAAGGGAAACATATATGATTGTGTCTGCAGATACGAACCTGCCAGTTGAGTGCTTTCTTTCCCCCAAATGTACGTTAACTTTGTTTACATCAGTTTCGGCTGACAGTGAATCGGAGATGGTAACATCTTCTTCGGAGCTTTTAGCACGCTGCACGTAGACTTTCAGATTAGTTGTCTTGTTTTTTGAATTTATATCGTTTACTTTTCCTGCTACTGGGATCGGTTAATCAGGGAAGAACTAGTTACCTTGCCACCGCAACAAAATTTGGACGAGCATCGAAACTTGTACTTTATAGAATAGTTTACATTGCCTGTTATGGTTACCCCAAAAAGCCAGTTCAAATGACAGAGCAGGAGTTAGGTGACTGTTTGATCACTTGACTCAAAACTTGGCATTGTGAACATATTGTTGTCTTTGCCTGTTTGGTTACTGGGCAAAATAATAATAATAATTATTATTTTCATTGTTGTTTTACTAGTTGACATAAAAATAAGACATGGCCCATAAATTTTGGTCATATAACTTTATTTATTTTATTTTATTTTTTTTCACATATTGTTGTGGATGTTTAATCAATCCAGTTGTTTATGAAAGCACTGGAGAATTTTTAGAATATAATGAATATGAAATGTCTCAGCTATATCACAAAGGCACTAATGTAAACTGTTTTAATAAATAAATAATTATTAATAAAAATTAAAAAAAAAAAAAAAGACACCCACAAAGATTTATTGGCTCCGGAGGAAAAGACATGTAGATTTTTGAGAGGGAAGAGGCTAATGAAGTGCTCAAATTAACAGAGACCATTGCTGGGCTCTTTGGCTAATGGTTAATGGTTTCATGTCTGTCTCCACGAAGAAACTAAGAGTCAAGGGAGTGAAAAACAAATTTAATGTTTGGGAGCAAGGAATTAGTGTCTTAGAATTAAGATTGAAGAAAATTTAGTATAAATTTTAAACTAAATTTTTTTCAATTCCAAATTCAAAGTATCGATTTGGTGATCCAAACATAACATAAAACATTTTTTTTTATGGTGAATAGAAAAACAAGGAAGATCTTAGAAATTGTGGTGTCCTATGTTTCCATATAATTTTTTTAATTTTTAATTTTATTTTCCAATAGCTACATTGCCAATGGGAGCAAAAGATTAAACTAAACTTTATGTTTCAATTTTATCGTGTTTACAATGATCTTCACTTATAGAAATTAAATAGTGATATGGGGCTTCGTTTTTTTTTTTTTTTTTGTTTACTCCTTGATGCATACAATGGATTGATTTAGCTTTTTCAAAAATCTTCTAACATCAATTTTTATTTATTTATTTATTTTTAGGTAAAAAAATATAAAAGTGATCTTTTAATATGTAATATATTAATAAAAATTAATCGTTAATAATGTTTACTTAAAAGTGATTCTTCTTGCTTTTTAATTTGAAAGGAATAAATTGCTATCATAAAATGCTACCTTCTATAAAACTCCAAAGCCCCAATTGGCATGCTTTTTGTTTCTACTGTTTCTGTTTTTGGGCTGCTACAATGTTGATTTTGATAACAAAAGTATATTTGGTGCAGCCTTATTTTATTTTACACAATGCCAAAACACTTCGTGAACAGTGGCCAAAAATCAAAATAACAAAAAGTTGTTTTTTCTTATTTTGACAACTGTTCATGGCCTAAAACCATAACAGTAGCGCAATACGGACCAAAAACAAAAAGCTTAAAATATAGTTTCCAAACGTGCTTCCAGCAAAAATATTGTTTTTGTCAAAAACAAAAAGCCAAAAACTAAGCACATGCCAAACTGGCCCTAAATATCAATTATTAAACCCCAACCTAGTACAGATTGAATAGTAAAAAATTGCCACATTCTTGAAGAGTTCCAAAACACCAAAATATGTGAGAATTGTAATGAGTGAAAAAAATAATAAATACATAAAATTCTAATGAAAGGAGATGGAGATGGAGCGTTTGTAACGAGATTATGAGCGGAGAAAATTTTATCCAATCCCATCATTGTCATATATATTCAATAATTAATGAGCTAGGGTAACGATAGATGAGTAAAAACCGTGGAATGAGTAGAGGAGGAAAAAACAAAAGGTTAAATAAAAGATAGAAATTATGAGTTTTAATTAAAAAAAAAAAAAATGGAATGACAAATTTTGGAATCAATTAAATTATTTGGGCTGTCTATTAATCTCAGGTATTTGTTGGGATCTAATAATATAAGGATATAAAGGGGTCTAATAATATCTCAATATAATATAAGCTAATAAATTTTTAAAAAAGTCTAATAATATAAAAAAAAAAAAAAAAAAAATTAGGATCCTATTGACTAGGACCTAGGAAAATTTTAGGCAGCAAGTACCATTAAACTGTAAACTATATATATATATGGTTATGTATATGCACTACAATTTAATACATGAAGTAGCACAGTTGTTTCCCAAATTGTTCAATGAGATGGTGGGAAGGATCCAAAGCCAGTATCCTCCCCTTACCATATGGGTCCATCTATTCTTTGGCAATATAATGGGCCTTGAAAATTATCAAAGAAGAAACATGGAGAAGGAACGTCCTCATCATGTACTCCATTTCTTGCACATTCAATACATGCCGGCTTGTACAGACGATACGTACACTCAAAGATCCCTCGATGATGAAAATGAAATAGATAAGATGGAATGTGATGAAACAGAAAGGATGGAAAGCAAAATCATTTACTCTGCAACAGAACTTCGCTTGGCGGGAGTCAGATTGAAGGCAGCTAATACGGATAGAAACCTATTCGACATAAGGTTTACTACTGCTTTTAGTTGTAATAGCTGCTCCACTCTGTTTGTAAAAGGTTACATAGAAATTCCACCTTTCTCTGTCTCTGATTCCACGGAGTCAGTCTTGAGAAACCTCATCGCTTTCGAGCTAAGCTGTCACTGGATTCCTAGTTACTTCACATCATTTGCGTTCCTCATGGATCTCCTCATCAATACTCCCGAAGATGTTAAATTGTTCGAGGATGCAGGAATCATACGCAATTATTTAGGTTCGAGGGAAGAAGTGGCCCGGCTTTTCAATGGTATTTGCCAGAATGCCAATCCGAGTGGTTTCCATTACACTAAGCAATACAAGCAGGCGATGGATTTCTGCACGCCTTGGCGAGTTTCTACCGCAAGGTTCAGACAATATTATTTTGGTAGTGCATGGTCAGGGATATCAGTCATTGCTGCCATCATCCTTTTCACCCTCGCGTTTATGCAGACCCTATACAGCATGCTTTCCTTTTATTAATTAGGTATCTTTGCCTTTGTTCCTATCACTATAAGCAATCCTACTAGTGTCTGTAAGAGCATATTGAATTAGTTAGGTACGTAATTATAGTCCTTATGGTTTGTCTTTAACATAAGCTCTGTTGTTCATCTCTGTATGGGTTCTCTTAATGAAAGTGTTTAATTACCCAATTTATGTGGAAGAGCCTTGTACATTAACCAAGTTTGTTTTGTTTTCAAGTGAAATATTTTTCTCTTAAAATATTTTCTTATTAATTTTTCTTGGTAAATATTTTAGGACAATCAAATACCAAAAAAATAAAAAAAATATTTTCTATAAAATATTTTACATCGGTTTTTATTTATTTATTTTTTTTGGGGAATTCCAAAACAAAACGTCTGTTTTGTTTCCACGTGAAATATTTTTCTCCTAAAATATTTTTCTTCTTCAAATAAAATATTTTTTATTTTTACTTTTTTAGCGTTGTGCATAGGTTTAGGTTTAGTCTATCCGGCGAGACATGAAAAATAACTTACTTAAAATTTATAGATAAATTATTTTTGTTAACTTTTAATATTATTTTTTCTTCGTAAATATTTTACAACAATCAAATACCAAAAAAATAAAAAATATATATTTTTTAAAAAATATTTTACATCCAAACAAATCAGAATTATTTATTTATTTATTTATTTTTATTTCAGTAATTCCAAACAAGCGGAGACTTGCGGTGAATATCTTTCTTTTATTTGTTGAGATGCAATCTTCTACTTTTAGATCCAAAATCTACATCCATTGGGCACTGGAGAGGTGAATAGGTGATAACCCTAGATATCTTACTGATCTAGTATTTCTATTTCTTTTCATGTTAAAGCATTATCTCTAAAACATATCCTAAATAATACTAAATAAGAACTTAATTTATTTTTTATTTTTATTTTTTTAAAATAAAAATATTATTGGAATATACAACTGATATATCCACTAGGCACTATAAAATCACATTCATGCTTCAAATATTTTGGCCTCTTCTATTAAAAGTTGATAATAACTTGTCATCTTGGAGATTCCATGAGGTGATTTATTATTGATTCTTGACTTGGGTGTTAGTTTGGTTTAGCTAACTTTTTATTTATTTTTAATGATGTATGTATTTCATGTTAGGGTAGTGATGTTTGATCTTTGCCGTGTATGTATATGTCCTTTGGCATTAGCATTTTCTTGCCAAAAAAAAAAAAAGTTGGCAAATTACCAATTTTGTTTTGAAACAAGCTGTCCATGTAAAGTGAAAAGGCAAGCTGTCAACATAATAGGCATATAAAACTGATCCACTATAAAATCAAAAGAAATGAATATAATTAATATTCAATTAGAGTTTTATATGATTGTATTTATGAACAGAAACGAATATAGAGTGTTCAATTAGAGACGCGGAAAGATCTAGATACTTTTAATGATATGCAAGTCTCACAGCAAAGAAGCTAAGAAAATTTTGAACCAACGTGAAGAAATTCAAATTGGATTATATCTATTTTTAAACGCAATGTTAAATTAACCAATCACAAAGTAAAATAAATGCAAGTAGTAAAGTTTGAGAGACACCTAATTTTAGTGAAGAAACCTAGTCGAAGAAATTATCAAATAATCCGAGAAATCTCCGAGATTGTCACGCGATTTTGAGCGAAACAAGCAACTATGTTTGAAGCAATGTACAACAAATTTTGACTTAGACTCACACCTTCTCACTCTACCAAGAACCAATTACTGACCGTCTTTGGCTCTGTGATTTCCCCGTCGAATAACTCTTGACCTCAGACTTAACCTTGACTCTGGTAAAAGGATTGTTGGTATATCAAATAACACTCCGCAAATTCTTTAACCCCTTTAGGGTGTGATCGCTCTCTCATTTTCTTCAAGTCTGATTTCGATGAACTGAAATAGAAGCTCTATTTTTTTCTCCCGTTCAACATCCTAAATCACTCTTGTATATACAGTATGTATGTCTCAATATGAAAATAAACACTCATAAAATTTTCACAAATTGGTTGTACGAATTAAATTCAAAAGCGGTAGAAAACCCTAAGTTGTAAACAGTATTTATATAGATTTTTGAAGACCTAAACTTCTTTTTTTGGTAAATAAGACATAAACTTACTCCGAAAACGAGTTTAATTCGAGTCTAATTATCTCAAATATATATATATATATATATATATATATATATGATAAAAAGTAACCTAATTAGAGTAAGAAAATAATTTTTAATTTGGTTTCAAGATAGCGTAACCGGTTTCACTTTGGTAGTGTCTAATATTTCAAAAACGAATTTTGAAAAACAAGTACCAAAGGGGTTCTGTTTTTGCAATGCACTTTTGTAAAACTATTTTCAAAAATCGTTTTAATTGCCTAACCTAAAACTTAACAAAGATGAAAATAAAATGTCCTCACACACTTACTTGTCTTGTGTTATTATGGAACTGGAGTATGTTCACACAATCCTCAATATTCAAAGATTAAACTAAAAGTACAACTCTGACTGAACTTATTTTGGCGCCCAATATTAATAATTACAAAGTTATTTCTCACAAATTTTTTTAACTGAAATGAGTCCTCGAACTAAATTACACCATTAAACAAAAAATTAAGTTATGCCGATTACCGAATAATACCAATAAAAAAATTCAGGACTTGGATAAATATAAAAATTATTAAAATGAAGATCAATTACTCAGAATATAAACCAACTTTAAAGACGAAAACGAAAAAGATAATATGAATGTCAAAATATTTTACCCCCAATCAAAATCATCATCTATATAGAAGAGCCAACTCATGGTAAGGTTTTATTAAGTATGGGATCCAAGATAGAGACTGAAATTGACATTGATATTCTAAGAAAACGTGTAACATGAGATCAAAGATTCCATAATAATTGTTGGTTAAAGATTCGCTGATCTGATATTCGGATCAACTACTTTTTTCCAATTATTTTTTTGGCAAATAACTTTTTCTAAGTGGTATGAATTAATTTTTCCTACCTTAATGTATTATGGCCCAGACTTTTGAATATTTTTATGCGTTGGTCCCCAAACCTAAATGTTAAAATGACGAATGTAACGTGACGTTAAACAAGAACAGTATAAAAGCAATATCTCCACTACTTTTTTCGTCTTCTTTTTCCAAAGAGAGAAAAAGAAATTTTATTAGAGAAAATGAAATTTTATGTGTCCATAAAATAGATGTGAATTATAGGTTAAAAAAAAAAGTGTAACATGACAAGTTTTGTATTTAACAAGTTTGTTTTTACTTTCTTTTCTTTAATATTTGAATATAGAAATGAATGCATGCATGTCTTGACAAATAGACGTAATAATATCATTTTTTTACTATGATGAAATAATCAAACAATTATAAAACATGTTACACAAATGGAAAGGAACAATTAAAACGTTACACGTGTCCAATTTGCATTCTAGTGATTGGTTTAGTTTTGGTGTTGGAATTATCAATGGCGACGGATCAGTGAAAATCACTATAATCTGTTTTCTAGTAGTCTTCGTCGTCCCTCCATAAAGTAAGTCTTGGGACCATGTTGAATATGAATCTGTGGTTTGGAGAAAAAAGTTTGATAAAGTTGCTTTTTAATTTTTTTTTTCAATCTTATCTTGTTGTGTCTGATCAGAAAATGTGAGATAGAGTGAGAGTCTGTCCAGTGAGAGAGAGAGAGCTTGGTCTTTTGTAGAACACTAGGATCACATTATTTTCCAATGTGATCCTACAAAAGGAAAAAATGAAATTAAAATGTACCATTTTCTCATGAAACTATCTGTCATGAGACAATTTTCTACGAGTGTGGACTATTTTTCAATTATCTATGGTATTATGTTTATCCTTGTCAATATTATCCTACAAAATGGAAAAAAATAAAATGAAAATGTACTAAAATAAGATAATTTTTTTTTGAAAATATTCAAACCAGTGATGGAGCTAATGAAGGCCTAGGAGAACACGTGCCCCCTGCCCTGGCCCCGCCCTTTATAATATTTGTGCTAATTTTATTTATTTATTTATTTTTTCATGTATATGAGAAATTTTAAACAATGTGCCCTCTTAAATTTTGTGGTTTCTAAAATTATTTCTTATTTTCTTTTTTATTCTTTAAATTCTCTAAATTTCCTTAAAAGAAAAGGTTAAATTTTTCTTACTCAATTGAAACTCTTAGCTCCCACGGGCTTGGATGAGTTGGTAAGGTGAGGGCTTTGGTTATCACTCGCCAGGGTTCGAGCCTTCCCACCTCTTTTATTACTCTCGACTTACTTTGCTGACGTCGGCAGTTTTACTTGATAGCTACAAATCCAAAGGGCAAGTGGTTGTGAGGGTTCCCAATATATATATATATATATATTGAAACTCTTAACTTTTTCCTTTTAAAGTTTCCTCATTTGCTTTCCTTTTTCCTTTTCTACTTCTACTTCTTAAAATTCTTTTTTTCTTTTTTACTGTACATATTTGAATAATTTTCTACTTCTTTTGTATTTTATATTTGTTATGTTATATATAAATCTAGACAATACTTAGATCATCACTAGTGAGAATTTATAATATCTTAAACATATCAAAAAAATAAAGAAAGAGAAAATAAACGAGATCCTACCCGAATAAAATTGTAATGAACTGGTCATTTTCCTTCCTTTTTTTTTTTCTCAAATTTTATGGATATTTTTTTCCGTTAATGTTTCTTTTCCGAGTTCGGTTTCTTGTCACTCGGTGTCGTCTCGAGTGCTCGGGAATAGTTCCCGAGACTCTTTCCTTTAAATTGACAACTTCCTTAAAGGATCGCGTCATTTCCACATTTTCATTTTTTAGACACTATTCACTTTTCCTTTTTTTCACGTTTGTCACTTTTTGGCACAACCTCACTTTTTGTGCTCGGAGTTGATTTTTGACTTCACGAGTTTTCATTCCATTTGATTTCCTCGAAACGCGTAGTTTTACTTTTGGAGAAAAGCTTGTCGGTTGTT